CGACATTTCGTGGAGGACCTCAAGACCCTGGTCATTGACACTATGACACAACGATGGTCGATCTACCTACAGCCGACCGATTTTTACCTCATGTTGGACACCGACCAAGGCACCCAAGTCTTGGACGATCTACCACATTCAATTCTCGACATTCTCAATTGGTATTATCCGACTTGGAAGATCCACCAACACCTGGACGCCTTTGCTTCGCGCCCTTCCTCTTCTCTTCCGTTGGTCCCTCATCCCGACCAGTCGGACACTGGCCTGCTCGTGCGCATCCAAAGTATCCCCCGTGGGCATCCATTCTTCTCACCGACGAGGACTACTACATCTTGAAATCTGGATCACGTACCCTATATGCCGAGACGGAAAATGATTTCTTGCGCATACTCCCATTTGTAGTTTGACATTCACCGATCGAATGACCTTCTTTACTTGTGACTTTAGGCTCTAGTCGAAACTTGTATTCCTCGAATTTTCTGTATCATGGCGACGAATCCGTTTGATGACATGGACATGCAGGGCAACCAATCCGAAATGACGACGCCTGAGCCCTATCAGAACCATTGGACTTTTGCTGAAGATTCCTCCTCGGCTTCGTACATTCCTCGTATGGCACGTACCGTACCTCATGCCTCTACAGTTCATACTATAGTAAGAAGATCACCTACCCTATGACATCACGACAACCCGAACTTTGGATACTTGAACGCACTGAAGATGGACTTGAAAACTGCCGCCCCGTCGAGACCTTTTTGGGCAACCTCCAACTTACACAAGATCATCGGGCCCTATGCGTTACGGCGAATCAATGGCGCATTCACTATAGATGAAGTTCCTCCAATCTCATCATCTACCACATCCACTATTCATCCTGTTCTACCTCACCCCGAACATTCCAATGTATACTTCGGACAACCTGTCTCCACCATACCTGATCACACATACATCCTGCAATCATGTTGGGGACGATCTGCACAACATCATTCCCAAGGCTCCCCTACATCGCTCTATTGGCCCCCATGGCGTTCGACTCCTCCATCCTCACCGGCGAGAACAACGATGCGACCGACCACTACAAACCCTCTGACATCGACATCTACGATTCCTCCTCCTGGAAACACACAGCATGACCAGAACGCCTTAACTGACATGTCCGATTCCAGCGTCTAACAGACTTGGACGTCCCCTCGGTCAACACACGGAAAAAAGGTATTGCTAGCCTTGCTTTTCTACTTTTGTCTACTCCGATCGCGTGAATTTACCACGAGTTGTTCATCACCGATATCGAAGAGGTTTACATTTCGTAACCGCAGCCCTATTTCTCATTCATTGGGTACCTGACGCCATGATGGCACCAAAAGCTTCTCGTTTTCCCCCATATTATCGAGCCACTTCCGAAGTTGAAACCCCGGGGGGCACCCAATCGTTTTCATGGTTTGCTGGACCTGGCCTTCTACCTGCCGGTATTGATCCACCTCCTGGTCGACCCATTTTGATCATTGTGGACTACTCTCCTTTACAATCATTGACACATCCGAGTGAGCGTGACCATGCAATGTTTACTGCCTTGGCGAACCACAACTTTCGATTTGCTACAGCTGGAGAATTGGAAGCTCTATTCGCCTGGGCTCGATTGTTTCCTCCAGACGAAGCCAGCGCAATTCAGTTTGGTCAATTACGACCACAATTGACTATTCGACTTCGTACCCAATGGGATATCCAAATGATCGCCTCGGATCTGGAGTTCCGCTACGCTGACCTCACTGGTGATGTTTTTCAAGTTCGTGACGATTAGACCATCCTGCAGCTCTTGGACGAGTACCGCCCTGATTGGCGACAATACAATTATAGAGAATCTTCTTTATTGGTTCCGGGCTCCCAACAACCTTTTATTTTGTGCTTAACTTGTCACAAAGTTCGACAAGGTGTCATTCTCCCATAGGTCCATGCTCACTGACTCTTCTGTTGCATCTTGAAAAGCTGTGATGACTACCGTGTTCCTGATGTTGACGTTGGTGGACCTCCTCCCATGATTTTGTCATCATACCGATTTACACCCTGCTATCCATGGAAATTTATTTGTGGTCTCGTGTCAGTTGTCTTCGTATCATTTGCATTACATTTCCGAAAGCCTTTGTCTTTGACTTCACATTCGTGCTGTTTTGTAGCCTTCCTCATGGAGCACAAGCGTGACGCAAATGCTGCCGGCTTGGCTTGGCCTAAAAGCTCTACGCGAACTTCCCAGAACCCGTCGCTGCTTGACGAGACGACCCCAACACCGCATGGAACATTGCCTGCTCCTGGAACTTTGACTCCCTCTACTACGGGAAATGAATCAGTGACGCCTTCTGGCATGTACACTTCTGATCCGCATCCTGGAGCTCCTTTCCCTGAACCTGAACACCATCCTAGCTCATGTTCCTCATCGGCAAGGACGCTTCACCGAACGAGTGGTGCATCAGATCCACTTCAAGATCTTTACCCACTCCAACAACGAGCGAGAGTTATTCGTCGAAGAAATTCCGACCAATGGAATCTCCAGAACCAGGGACCCTGAACATTTTTTCTATGGCCTCTCTGGACAATGGGAATGGTCCAAACACACGGCGGACTATTGGCGCTATCATTTTGGCCTGCCCTTGTATCATAGCAACCTTTCCAAAACAATTTCATGGAGAATACCTCGCCCTCTGACAATCAAGTGCCGCAGCCGACCATTGCAACCTTGGCTGCCTTGGCTATACACAGTTACATGAACGTTTGTCGGCAGCCTTGGCATCTGGGGAACTTGGCGAACATTGGCGAATGGTTGAACGCTTGAGCTTTTCGGACGCGATCCAGACCCTCATGACGCCACCACGTACGTCTTCTGAGAACGATAACTGAGGCCTTGTAGCGTCGAGATTGAAGCGGCTCACCCCGCCTCATGTACCATAGCATGGCACCGATTGCTTCTTCCAAAAAGAAACCCTGCCTTGGCAGGGTGTGTGTGTGTGTGACACATCTGAATAGATGTAAAACTTCTGCCTCTCCGGGTTTTATACTGGTTCAACTTACCATATGTCTATTTCAGCAGGGGCGTGCAGCACCTTTGGCATACTGCACGCAACGAAGCTATTGCCATTGGTGGGAAGGGGAGGCTGATCACCTCCCCCTGTACCTGCAGAATCCAGTTTGAACTGTTGAATAAGCGGTCCATTTCTATTTGTTGCAATCAGTGCTTGTGAATGGCAAGGGGCTAAGCCAAGTACCCCAAATACAATGACTTTATTTCTTCACGGTTGCCACAATCTGCGTTTTCGCCGAGACCATGTCGCCGATGTCTTCTTTGATTATTCTGGAAAACCATCGCCGAAACCTACTTCATCGTTGACATTATTTTCTGTGTTATCAACATGATGATCCTATTCAACTTTTTGGAATCTGATTTGGACTCCGTTTGACAACATTGGATGCCCTACATCGTTTTCGAGAAGTACTACAAGGGGATCTACTTCAGGTCTAATTGTTTAGGCTGGTTTGAATGTCACAGGACTCAGTTCCTGACGGATCTTTTCAAAGATCCTTTCTTGTCTAGTGTGTACTGTGTATGTGCATGTATACGAGACATGTAAATATATGTAAATGTATGTAAATGCATATGTAAAATAAATAAATAAATATATATTTATATATGTATATATATATGTAAATATACATGTAAATATATACAAATATACGTGATGCACATCGGTATGTATATGTTTGTATATATATAGATAGGTGTACATATGTGTGTGTATACACGTATGTATGCCTATGTGATGTTGTGTCCATCAGGAACTCTCACTCGATTCAGGAACGCGCGAAAATTGTGGGCGTGTAATTTCGGTTTCAGTTTTCGTTTTTATTGCACCGCCTAGATAGTTTCGTGGCAACAAACGTGGTCAGTAGATGTCAGTAGATTTCAGTAGTCAGTATGCAACATTACCACCTGGCTCCTTGAAAGTCTATCTCTCTCCAGTTTTGGAGGTACGACCGAGATGGAAAAGACGGTGTGGACGATGCGCAAAAGAATGTCCAAATGGATGCCAGGACTTGGAATGGCTGGTGCAAGGGTGTTGCGCAAGACCTGGTTCATTGCAGAATGTATCATTTTGGAGTCCCCCAAACCTGTACATATGCTCAAACCATCCAAGAAGATCTCATTTGATTACACTCCACTGAGTTATATAAAACATATTTTTCTGCCTGTCTAGGGCGCACTACAAATGGAAGCGTTCTGTGTCAATGACGATGAACAGATCCGTTTTGAACGAGCAACACGATGAGGTGGATGTGCACGATTGCAACCTGTGCAATGCTTTGCTGTCAGGGCATTCTTTGGACTTCTCTTTGGCTCTGAACGCTTTGAACCTTGGACTGGGGAGTCTGGTGCTCAGAGATCCAGCATCAGCCGAAGCGAGGGTTCGTAAAGCCACTTAAACAACTGAAGTCTCAGATTGTGTTTGCCATGGTTTGCCAGTGAGTTTGCCATAACATGTTGATGGTGACCATTTCTCTGATAAAAAACGTCTCTTTCCCAACAAAGCTGATGCGACAGAATTCTAGACTTTCATACCCAGTCTTGACGTCAAATTTCGTCAGCTCGCATTCAAAGTCCACGGCCTTCTACGCCCGCATATATTGACATGTCTCTCCCGCTGTGTCTGCAGCTGGTGCTTGCAGTGGAGCTGGGGCAGCCCCTAGGCCTAAGCGGCCTAGGATGTGTGCATTTAGATATATGCTAGGCATTTCTGGGCAACATGTTCAAAGACATCATGAAGCAAGTCTATGCAATTCTCGGAGTTGGTTACGGTTACATGTCATTTCCATCGTTTTCCAATTCGCCACCTATTCTTGCAAGTTGGTGGGAGCCAAATTTTTAGAATCGAACCAATGGAGCCACCTGTGGCAGGTAGCGGCATTCAGCAATCACTAAAACACTACAACACGCTTCCAGAACATATCACTAGTAGATGTCGCAATGGACAGGCCAATCTGCTCAAGGCACAGGCCTACGAAAGCGAGACTCCAGTGGAATAGGTGATCTTCTCGTTTTACATGACGAGATGTTTCACGGAGATCCCAAGGACGAGAGAGTTCCAGCTCTAGGTGGAGGCGAACGGCACCCTGAAGCCACGGTGAGCGTGAGCTCCCGGCCCGTGGCTCAACCCGCGGAGCATTCAGTGCAAACTTCAGAGCGTCAGGGTGCGCTGTTTGGCGCGACAAGCGATGGGACCAGCATATTGCGGAAGGTCGAGCAAGAGGAGGACTTCTCCTCCAGGTTACGGAAGCGCTTGGAAGATGCCTGCGAGTCTTCACCAGACCGAAGCATCACCAGCATGTCCCACGAATTTGGAGCACTGAATTCACAGATCATCCAGGGTTGGCGCCCTCCAAGCAGCGCACGAGACCAGAAGGGCCTTGGCCTCGGCCTCGGCCTGTCGAAGCCAGAGCCACCAGCGCGACCGGAGCCACCGGAGTCGCCTCCATTGCGAGAGTCTGCAGTTGCAGCAGCTGCAGCAATTCCAGCAGTTGTAGTTGTGGCTCAAGAGCCACCAGGTGGTAAGGTTTCAAAAATGGAAAGAGATACAGCTGCCATGAGTGGCGCAAGTGGTACATTGCTGCAAGGTGACTTTATTTCGAGCGACCTGCACCTCACTGCCCCTGGTGAATCAGTAGAACAATCCAAAGGTGCGCTGGAACAGTTGGCTCTTGAACATCAGCAGAAGCGATGCAGGTTCCAACCTCAGGCACCTGAGGCACCTGAGGCACTTGAGGCACCTGAGGCACCCAAGGCATCCGAGACATCCGAGGCACCTGTACCGCTTGAATCTGGTGAAAGTTTGGATGACACTGTTGCGCCGGGAGGAAACAGTGTTTCAGTGAGTTTGTTGCGTCCTGAAAGTCCTGCAGAGTCGTTGCCTGTCGATGCAGAAGTTGACAATCATGCTCCTGAACCCATGGCTACGCCCAGCCCATCTTCAATCCTTTCAAATTCTCTCAGCCCTTCTGGGAAGAAAAAGAATCAATTAATGCTGCAACTTCCCGGAGCGATGCCTCAACCAATGGTGCGAGACTCTGTGAGACAAATGCAGCTCACTGTGTCAGCAGCGTTTGGAGAATCTGATGCCAAAGGGACTGTGTTGGATGGAAACCGTAAAAAACAGAAGGATAAAATCAGTTCATTACATTTGCAGAGCGTCGACGAAGGGCAGTGTGCAGATGAATTGGCAACAGATGTGCTTGCTTCGGAACCTGCCTTGAAGTCCATTCTCAAGAAATCTCAGGATGGAAAAGGGGGCGCGAAATTGAGCCTAAGGACTACTGCAATGATGGCAGGCCTCGCTGCTCGAGGGCGGCGTGGCTCCTCTCAAGTGGTTCCCATGGAAGTCATGGAGGTGCCCCCCAGCAAAACAGTTACCATCGTCGACAATTCAGATGAGGTGAGACAAAAAAGACGGTCACAGAAAGAGCTCGAATGGAAGGAGCGACAGCAGAAGATTCACTCACAGCGAAGAATGAAGGCACTAGGCTCCATGCTAAGGACTCCCATGGGCTTGGCCATATACTTGGGCAAGTGTTACTTGGCATCCCCCAAGGCACGCCAAGTATGGCTGGTGGCCATCCTCTCAGTCTGTCTCTTTGAGCTTTGGAGCGCTGCGCTATTCATTGCTTTTGTGCTTGACCCAAGCAAAGCCAACTTTTTATCAACACTGCTCAGCCACTTGCCAACAATTTCCAGCTGTTATTCAACCGTATTCAATTGTTTTCAGGGTTAGAGTGATGTGACATTTCCTTGGAGCGCCGAGCTGTCTCTACCACCCATGATCATACAAGGATAACCTCACATGCCACCGGCCGTGAACAAAGGTATGGATCACTACGCCAACCTGGTCTTTGTCCTTGATGCCATGTTTTT